TATTTATTATAAAACTTAACTCTAACACTAGCACTCTCTATTCTATTTCTATTCTAACCACTTTTCTTTAATTTATTATAAAAGCTTAACTCTCTAACACTAGCACTCTGTGTTCTATTTATATTCTATCTACTTGTTTTCTTTTATTATAAAAACTTAACTCTCTAACACTAGCACTCTGTGTTCTATTTATATTCTATCTACTTGTTTTCTTTTATTATAAAAACTTAACTCTCTAACATTAGCACTCAATATTCTATTTCTATTCTATCTACTTGTTTTATTTTATTTATTATAAAAACTTAACTCTCTAACACTAGCACTCTCTATTCTATTTCTATTCTATCTACTTGTCTTCTTTTATTTATAACGTAACTCTCTAACACTAGCACTCTGTATTCTATTTCTATTCTATCTACTTATCTACTGGTTTTTTTAATTATAAAAACAACTCTAACACTAGCACTCTGTATTCTATTTATATTCTATCTTCTTGTTTTCTTTTATTTATTATAAAACTTAACTCTAACACTAGCACTTTCTATTCTATTTCTATTCTATCTACTGTTTTTTTTATTATAAAAACAACTCTAACACTAGCACTCTGTGTTCTATTTATATTCTATCTACTTGTTTTCTTTTATTATAAAAACTTAACTCTCTAACATTAGCACTCTATATTCTATTTCTATTCTATCTACTTGTTTTATTTTATCTATTATAAAAACTTAACTCTCTAACACTAGCACTCTGTGTTCTATTTATATTCTATCTACTTGTTTTCTTTTATTATAAAAACTTAACTCTCTAACACTAGCACTCTGTGTTCTATTTATATTCTATCTACTTGTTTTCTTTTATTATAAAAACTTAACTCTCTAACATTAGCACTCTATATTCTATTTCTATTCTATCTACTTGTTTTATTTTATCTATTATAAAAACTTAACTCTCTAACACTAGCACTCTCTAATCTATTTCTATTCTATCTACTTGTATTCTTTTATTTATTATAAAAACTTAACTCTAACACTAGCACTCTCTATTCTATTTCTATTCTGTCTACTTGTTTTCTTTTATTTATTATAAAACTTAACTAACACTAGCACTCTCTATTCTATTTCTATTCTAACTGCTTTTCTTTAATGTATTATAAAAACTTAACTCTCTAACACTAGCACTCTATTCAATTTCTATTCTGTCTACTTGTTTTCTTTTATTTATTATAAAACTTAACTAACACTAGCACTCTCTATTCTATTTCTATTCTAACTACTTTTCTTTTATTTATTATACAAACTTAACTCTCTAACACTAGCACTCTATTCTATTTCTATTCTATCTACTTGTATTCTTTTATTTATTATAAAAACTTAACTCTCTAACACTAGTGTTCTCTATTCTATTTCTATTCCATCTTTTATTTATTATTAAAAAAAACTTAACCCTCTAACAGCGTTCTCTAGTCTATTTCTATTCTATCTACTTGTTTTCATTTTTATTTCTACATGTACTGCGTTAGACTTGCCAGGACTTGTCGCAGCACTTGCATATTATTGCTCTTTTGTTGGTTTGATTGCTTCTATTGTACTCATTTGTAAGTCGCTTTGGAAAAAAGTGTCTGTAAATGTGATGTTAAAACATGCTTACAGTGTGTTAAATCATGTTAACAATTTGATAAAACATGCTTCTAACATGCTAGCAATGTGTTAAAATGTTAGAAAAAGGCAAAAACGTGAGAAACGTTAACAACATGTTAAAATATGCATGCTATGATAGTCTGTCTGTCTCTGTTTTTTTTTTTTTTGATGTACTGAGGGCCTTCAAAACCTTCAAACTTCAAGTTTTAAAACTACTTAAAACTAAAAACCTTCACGTTTCTTCAAACTTGTTAGTCAGGCTTTCTAAAGCCAACATTTTAAATCATTATATGAAATATAATTTCAAAAAAAAAAAGTATACAATAGTTTCCCGCTATTCTGTACTGTATGTGTCTAATAAAGAGACAAAATGAAAAAACTTGTTGTATGTTTACAATAAGTGCTTGGAATCATCTACATTTAAACATCCCTTAACTGTTATTCTCTTCTTTCACTCAACTGTGTCTCCGCCCCCATCCTCGTCTTCAGCCAATAAGAAGAAAGAGCGTCCGGAGATCTCTCTGCCGTCGGACTTTGAGCACACCATCCATGTTGGCTTTGACGCTGTCACTGGAGAGTTCACTGTAAGCCTGAGCAAAGACCTTTTCCTGCAGGATGCCCACATGTAGAAAACAATTCTATTTATGCCTTCAGACATTATCACATATGCATATATTTCTAGATCAGTAGACTCTCTTTTTGTGACTTCACATTTGATTGTGTATCCAGTTTAAGACAGTTTGAGATTTGTATCCAACCACTGGGAACAAAATATTGACTTCTTTGACAAATTATAGCCAAATCTAAATGTAAAATTCATTAGGAGCTTGTTAAATAGCACTTTTACTCTGCACTTAACCTGTAAAATGAATGAACTCACCTGATTATAAAGAGAAAGTGCTAAATAAAGCACGCAAAATAGGACAAACGGAAAGAAAAATGGCTGAAGATGTTCATTTGACATCAGCAACCCAAATATAGAAAATGAACCTCCAGCAGTTCAGACTCGCAGGATTAACCTCCGGGTCCAGATCTGTCTTCCTGTTTACATCTGGATTAATATATCTGATAAGATATTAAATGAGCTGTGGTCTTTTCCTGACCCCTAAATCAGCCGTACTTTTCCTCCGTATGACACTGAGTTGAGTTCAGTGTGTGTAATGAGTGTTAATGAGAGCTTTTTGGCATGCGCATGCTTTCATTGTCACTGGCATAGGCTGATTACCGTGGTTTACTCTATGCTTGTATTTGTGGCTCTCTATGTAGGGCATGCCTGAGCAGTGGCTTTACATCTGGATTAATATATCTGATAAGATATTAAATGAGCTGTGGTCTTTTCCTGACCCCTAAATCAGCCGTACTTTTCCTCCGAATGACACTGAGTTGAGTTCAGTGTGTGTAATGAGTGTTAATGAGAGCTTTTTGGCATGCGCATGCTTTCATTGTCACTGGCATAGGCTGATTACCGTGGTTTACTCCATGCTTGTATTTGTGGCTCTCTATGTAGGGCATGCCTGAGCAGTGGGCACGGTTGCTCCAGACGTCCAACATCACCAAACTCGAGCAGAAGAAGCAATTTATACAATTACATTTTATATATTATATCTTATGTATATATTTATATATTATATATATATATTTAATATTGTATGTGTATTTTATACCTAATGCAGATGAAACATATCCAGCTGTCATTCTTTTCTTTTAAATAAGATGTGATCTGGCGCTGTATTATGTTGTTTTTGAAATGTTCGTTGTGATGTTATTAGTGACGGAACGTTCTCTTTACACACGAGCGCTTCAATTTATCGCTTAATGACGTTGCAGAGACTATATACAGTATTTATTCCAGTTAAATCACAAAACAAAATACCCTGCTCCCTGCTCTTGATATACAATCACTGATGAACATTTTTGATTATAATAAGGGGGGAAAAAAATGCGAGGGCAGATTAGAACACGCCTAACGAAAATTCTACCACTAGACTGTTTAGAAATGCGATTGTTTATTGCATATCTATGTATTTATTCACTGATGTGAAGAATCTCGGGCCTAATAATATATTTTATTATAGTGCATGTAAGAATGAAACTATCACGTTAAAAATGAGTTCTAGTGTCGATACATTAACCACCACACACACACCACCACACACACACACACACACACTCCTGTCCCACCCACTTTTTAAAAAAAAGGTACGCCACTGTCAGTGGCTTTATATCAGCCACCAAATCCATTATAAATCAGCAGTTGAAAAAACAATGTCAGTGATATGTTGTCTATAGATTAGTTCTATGTCTCTTTCTCATTTCTCATTCGTCTGTTTTTAATTTCAGATAAAGGTGCGGATAGCTACAGCTCTTCCAACGCAGTGGTGAGTCATTGTGATGTCCGACTGTGTTTTCCAGGTTTATCTGTGACACACAGAGAAGCGTTTGAGGTCAGGAGGGGAATATGGAGAAATGTTCCCTCAGCTCACGTGACACGAAAATTCTACCACTAGACTGTTCAGAAATACGATTGTTTATTGCATATCTATGTATTTATTCACTGATGTGAAGAATCTCGGGCCTAATAATATATTTTATTATAGTGCATGTAAGAATGAAACTATCACGTTAAAAATTAGTTCTAGTGTCGATACATTAACCACCACACACACACACACACACACACACACACACACACACACACTCCTGTCCCACCCCCTTTTTAAAAAAAAGGCACGCCACT